TCCTTCTACCCTGGTTTATAAAATTCTTCATTCACTTAACAAATATACCAAGCTTCTACTGTATGTAGGCTATCTTTAGGAGCTGAGGAGAAAGCGATGAACAAGCAGACAAAACTCCCTGCCTTCATTGGGTTTGTGTCCCAGTGGGAGAGATAAACAATGAAGAAGATAAATAAGCAAAGTAGATCGATGGTTAGATGTAGGTGAGGGTATATGAAATGTTGAAGCAGAGCAGGTGATGGTAGTGAAATTCAGGTGGGTGGCCATTGTATACCTTCCTGAGAAAGCAGCTTTTAAGTAAAGATCTGGCAGAAGTGAGCCACACCAACACTGGAAGGAAGGTCTTTCTGTGGCAAGAACAGCACATGTAATGGCCTTGAGGGAGGAGTGTGCTGTGTGGTTGAGGAATGGCAGGGAGGCAGGTGGAGCAGGAGAGAGGAACGAGCAAAGGAGAGAATAGGAGATCTTTTAGCTCAGCACTAGTGGAAACCAGAGCTTATGGGGAATTGTCTTTATATCACTTTCAGATCTCTATCTGTTATGGACTGAATCGTGTCCCCCAAAACTTGTATTTGTGCTTTCGTTAATGGTTTTCTAATCATTTCATATGGCTGTATTTGTCTTCCCAGCAACATTACATGTTACTAGAAGGCAATTTGCCAGTATTCTACCACTTTGGTTTTCTCTGTAGCACCCAAGCATGTTGAGCTGATTGTTTTTGAGCCTTTGAAGATTAATGATATAGCAAACTTCTGTGTACAAAGCCCTTAGCAATTGTAAATACTTAGCAATTGTTATTTTATCAGTAGCAGCAGAACAGCAGCATCAAACATGCTGGCCTAAAAATGACCATTGTCTTCAACCTTACTTTTTGGCATGCAGCTGATTTTTCATTAAAATATTTTATTCTATTTTTGAAGACCATCAAATTTTCAAATATAATTTCTCAATTATGGGATATCCAATAATCTATAAAAGAGATTGTGCTGCACGATATTTTGTGATGTGGCTTTGTGTTTGAACAATAATACCTAACATTTACTGAGGTGTGCTTTCTTTACATGTAATATCTCATATAGTCCTTATTAACCTTGTGATAAATGCTACTATTATACCCACTTTAGAGATGGGGGCCCAAGTAAACAACAGAGGTCATTCAGCTAGTAAGTACAGAGGCCTAAATTGAATTGGTTAAGATAACAGCAGCTACTGTAACAAGCAAATCCCCAAATGTGTAGTTGCTCAAACACAACAGAAGTATGTTGCTCATTCACATAAAATCTGAAATTGGGGTTTCTTATTGGCAGAAGGCTCGCCTCCAAGTGGTGATACAGGGTCCCAGGCTCCTTCCTTCTCATAGGCCCCAAGAACATCAGAGAAAAAGCATGGAGAATGGGGCACAAGAACATCTTCTGCCAGGCCTGTGATGCATACCATGTTAATCCACTGGCCTGGTTTCAGTCATCTGGCCACACCTAACTTCAAAGGAGGCTGAGAAATGTAGTCCAGCTGTGTGTCTAGGAGGAAGAGGAGATGGCCCAGAAGCCCAGACATTCTGATTCTACAACCCATGCTGATAGCCATTATGACGTCTCTGTGGATTAACTTTAGAATCGGACATAATATATTGTATGTTTCACGCACTTGTTCAGCCACTGATTGATGAGAACACCTCCACTGTGTTTTGAAATGCTATTTCTTAAGTCTCTCCATTTCCAAGTGGTTTTCCACTGTTGTTTGTTCTATTTGTAAATGCCTGCATTGCTTTGACTGTAGTATCTTGCTTTAAGCTCTGTTTTTTAAAAAAGAAAACCAAATCCTCAGAATTATGAAACCAGTGAATTAAATATTTCCAAGAGCTTTTTTTGGATTGTGTCAGTCTAGATTTTGTTTTCCTGAGGCTACCAAAGAAGGAGTATGACTTGCTTAAGAAAGTCTTTCCTTGACTCTCATGGAAGATCTTCATCAAATCTCATAAAAGTGGAAAGGTGGCTTTATATTGAGTAGTGAGGCAGAGGATTCAAATATAACCACGAAATTAAGGCTTTCTGACTTTTAAAATTGTGTGTTTTCCTAGAAACCACACAAGAGTAGTTGCTAAGGTGGTCTTAAAAGATTTTTAAAATGTGAGTACGAATATGGGAAATCTCAACAACTACTTAGATCGTGATTAGGCTAACAAATAATTCTATACTTTTAAATTTTAACTTTCTCATTTTGAAATTCTTAAACTATTAATAAACATTAATACAATGTATTTGGTTTTGTAAAGAGATATGCCCAAAGAGTATTGACTTTGAATAGTCAGTTTAATTAACAAGTTGCTAGTTCTTCAAAGAGTGTTAACCTCAAGAATACAAGCTCCAGCCTCAAACTGACTTTCAGTTACAGAGACCTAAAAACTCAAACCAAAACCAAGACAGATATATCACCAGCTGAGAAAGAAATGCTCAGATGGGTGCTATAGAAGCTTGGAGAGCTTCTAGGTTAAGTTGGGGACCTGGTCAAGGAAGTCTTTCCTTGAGAAAGAGCCAGAAAAAGATATTAGAGATGTGGAATCACAGAGAGGTGTGTGAGCAGGGTGTGTGGCAAGGAGTGGATGACCCAAAATGTATGTCTGCTGCTTTTTCATATATCATTTTCATGTGTTATTTCTCATGAGCTCCAAATTCCAGTAACAGTGCCCTGTAAAGGTACATTGTTAAGTTCTTCTGCTTGTAGTATACCCTAGAGACACACAGTCCTTAGATACTCAGTATGAAATACTTTATTGCATTTTTAAATGCAGACATTCAGGTTCATTATAGAAAGTGGTCTATTTTTAGGCTCAGGAAAAATCAAACCCACTTCTCTAAAAGAATTTTGGAGATAAATACTCATATAAAACATTTTCTTAAGCAATCCCTGTCCTTCAAATGATCTGATGCTCCATTGAAATCTCCAAAGAAAGCTTCAGATATATCTTGGCTCAAACTTTTTCAAACCAAAGTCACTTATTTTCTGATGAGTCAGAAGATCATGTTGATGGATGAAACTTGCTGACATTTGGATGGTTAACCAGTTAATTCTCCTCAACACCAATATCTTTCCAGTGATCCTCTCTTACCTCAACTGTTAGTGAATTACTAAAAGAATAAAAGTGGCTCCATCAACACTGAGCCCTGGGAATTGTAGGATTTAAGCTTTTTGTGCCTGAGGTGACCAGGACTGCTGGGTAGCAGAAACAAGCACATACTTCCTCTTCTGACTCTTCCTCGTAGGTTAATGAGGCATCACAAGAAACAGAGATCCACGAGTTTGTCTTTCTATTGACTTCTTAGATATAATATATCTATATGGTAAAGCCCAATTTGGCCATCAGATGCAGTAATGAGGCCAGATTCTGGGACATGGATCCCAAAGGCAAAAGTCTGGTGGGTGAACTCTGGGATACTCAGATCCCAGGAGATACCACAGAGCCCTACATTGCCCAGCTTTATACTCCAAAGTCAACTGACCTCACCCTTGTACATTACAAGTTCCTTCCTGACTTGCAGCAGAAAAACTAAGTACCCAGAGAACATTTCCTATTCTCTAGAACTTTCCAAATTGTTGACTTATGCCAGCAGCTCTAATTGGACTTGTGCAGGTAAAGAATTGTGCTCACCCTCAAAGTACAAATAGCCTACCTGTTATTCTATCTGAAACACACGCTTGCTTCATGTTTGCTTACATAAAAGGATATCAGTCCTACTCTAGGTTTGGCCGACCCACCAGCTGCGTCTAACAGCCTCACTCTGGGGTCTTGAACTCACTGTGGTTCAGTACTTAGGAAAAGCTTATTTAGAGAAACAGAATTAGAGAGGATTGCCTGAAGTTTATGCCATCCCTCTGTTCTCCTTAGAAACTCCTGACATTTATGTCTCTGGATTAGGCCAGATCACTGAAAAAAGGAATTCCTGGCTGACATCATCCTAACCCCTTGTGGAATTGAGTGAAGTGCTTACTCTCTTCCATTCAAGCCTCCAGCCCCAGCCTCCTTTGAGTGAAGTAACATTTAGACCTACAAAACTCCCTGTTGTATAGCTGATGTCTTCACTGATACGCTATACACAGTGGCTAAAAACCTACAGGAGAAATAGTTCCCTGGCCTCACTGCCAGGAATAGTTGTTCTCATCTGAGCAATGCGTTTGCTGTGATCCTGTATACTAAATGAACCACCTACCTGATTTTGGCTGCCAGGAGACTGAGAGACAGGGCAGCAACCTGTCTCCAGCATCAGTACCAAACTCCTTAGCCTAGATTTTCTAGGTTAACCTCACTCCTGTCTTTACCTTATTTTCTAAGCTCTTATTTTTCTTTTTTCCCCTCATGTTATCACTTTCTTTAGGTTATTGAATTATCAGAATTTTTTTTGAGCTACTTAAATCTTTTAAGAAATAAATTTGAGGTATATAAATGAATTAAGTATTCTCAGTTGCTCTGTTTTGAGGACAAGACATATATAAATTATTAGTTTTCAGATAACTAGACTATGCTCAATATAGTTGGCATTAAAGTCATTACTGTTGTGTCTGTGACTAAACTATATGTGTACACTGTCAGGGACTTGGCTATCTTGGGCATCTCTGTGTGTGTAGTTGCTGGTGCTCAGTAAATATGCCCTGAGTGATTTGAACAAACAGGATCTTTTGGTACCTGAAGGTTGCCATCATTATATCAGAAGCAAAGTGAAGACTTGGCACTGCGGTGTTTCCTCCACCCTCATCAGACAGGAGGACAGCACTGGCACCTCTGACATTCTCCTGTCTCCCTCTCTGCAGACTCACATTTCAAGACTCCCTCCTGGTGCGGTGGCAGGACAGTCCGTCGCAATTGAAGGTGGGGTTTGCCGCCTGGAGAGCCCAGTGAACTGACCCTTCAGGCTGAGCGTGAGGCCTCTGAGATGCATTTCAGAACCTGAGCTTTTTGGGGTTTTTATGAAGTGGGATGTTTTATCTTCCTTGTTTTATAATTCCTATCGCAACCTCGTGCACCGCTCGAGACACAAGTGCTGCTGTAGTTAGCGCTTAGTGACAAGCGGGCCTTTGGCGGGTGAGTGGGATCGTGTGTGTGCATGTGTGTGCGCGTGCGTGTGTGCTTGCTTCTCCCTTTATGAAATAGAAATTCCTCATTGTGTAACCTAAGACCAGGAATGATTAAATCGTCTTTACAAAATGTGTGCTCTAACTGTTTACAAGTAAAACCTAAAGTTGCAGGAAACATTTTTTATTCCCTAAAGAGGTACCAACTGTCGTTGATGTAATGTGTCAGAACTGAAGAGTAAATCTACTTGTTTAAATGATTTGACAGTGGCAGTACTCCATTTAATGATAGTAATAAATAATAAAGTGTTTTTATTTGTTAACCAGTTTAAGTGGATCCTGTGGTAACTTAAACTGTTGTTCTCATCCCTCATATGGGGCATTTTTCTTTAACAAAGAATGGTTTCAGTGAAACAATCTAGCAGAGAATTAAGGTCAGAACCTTTTTAAATAATAGTCTGATAAAGTTTGTACTTCTTTCCACAAGCTTTTCTAAGCTTAAATATTGCATAGCTTCGAGCTATATGTACTATATTATGAATGAATATGTAAAGAGAACATACAGTAATGCACAGTCCTTAATTTGTGTATAATGGAATGTTATTTACAATATAACTGTAAATAAGAAAGCAAAGTTTATGGGAAGATTCAATATTATCTTTGTTTCTTGTTTAAATATATTTTTAAGATAAAGGCACAAAAATAAAAGAAGCATATTACTGGGTATAGTGTGTGACTCCTCTTCACAGACTAATAAATTTTCTTTTGAATCATAGATTGGAGACCTATTTTGTATTTTGTTCATAAAAAGTTACTTCTTCAGAAGTCATACCATCATCCATCTTGCTGCTGATTGTTCAAAATCCAGTCCAGGGCAATTACGGCAGACACTAGCAAGATGAAAGCTGAACTTAGTACATGATCGAATGGTCAATATGGAAATCCCTAAAATTTCCAGTGTAATTTGATAAAAATAACAAAAGGAAGGAGTAAGAACAACTTTGATTTGAAAAATTGTAGTGCAGCTAAAAGCTCAATGGTTTCAGTTGATAAATTGCTTCTAAATGTTATATTTAGGGATTCTGGAGCCACATAAGAAAACCAAGACTTATCCTTTTGATTTTTTATGTAAGAAGTGGTTATCAAGAAGATACTAAAGATAGACTTGTTCAGGGGAGGAAGTTCCCTGCACCATATAATCATGGCTCTGGGCGGTAACTGATAAAGCCCCAGATGAAATTATACACTTGACATCGATGTATGGCCAAATTATAAAGGAAAGACAACCAAAATGGACTGGGTGTAAATATGAATAATTTGAGAGTCGCTGATTTATATTCCTCGTACAGGCAATTACATTTGTCTTGCTGTGTTCTCGTAGACAGGTTGGTGCCTTAGTATCTGTTTCTCATTCTTAATGAGGCTGAGAACTTAGTAAGAGATGGGCTGGCTGGTGGGGAGCCTTTGGCTTCAAAAGCTTTCAAAGACCAGTTACCTGTTGGCAGGGTGTTTTCAGGAACTGGATTGGATCACATAAAACTATCAGGACACTTTGGAGTCTGAAAATCATCTGACCTATTTCACCAGGAATGCCATTTCTTTCATCTCCTTTTGGATTTACTCCATTCATATTTAAAAGTTTGAGCTTGTTAATGACCCCTTTTATGAAGAGTTTAAAAACTGATCAGTATAAAAGAGCACAGCCCCTCCAAGAGTAGTTTGTCGAGACTTTATTCTCCAATTTTCTAATTTCTTTTTAATTTAAGGAATATTGTGAAGCCATCAGGGAAAAAGTCACATTCAAAATCATAGAGACAAAAATATGATGCGTCATATAAGTTCCTTCATTGTAAGATCAGATGTTAAAGATCAGCTACTGGAACCAGAGGATAGTGACAGAGATAAGATCAACTTTATTTCACATGAAAGTAGAAAAGGTAGAAATAGATAGGAAAATAACTTCATTCTCTAGTCTGCCTTGTATCACCAAGATCCTGAAGTTGTATTTTAGGATGGCCACTTTTAATGTGGATGATTTTAACTGTGTGCCCATATTTGATTTCCTTATAAGTTATGAACATTGGATGTTTGGTTCTCTCGAGTATAATTAAGCCTGGTCTGGATTCCTCAAGGCCCTCACTGTGACCTTGTTCTGGGCTTGGAAATAGCATCCTCAGGGCTTTGTGGGGTTTGGGAAGTAGTCTCACTGAAAGCACCCAGAGTGCTTGTGCTGAGTGAGCGCATCATGTGGTTGAGGCTTTGTTCTCCTCTCTTGCCAGCTCTGCCACCTCTCTCTGCAGGCCCTTTCTCCTCTTTTAATTGTGAACTTGAACTTAGATATCGCCTCTGTTAGAACTTTGTGCAAAGTGTGTATAAACAAGTCCTAAATGCTGGTCTGAGGTACTTGTCTATGAGCAAAGTGAATGAATTTTGGTTTATGGATATGAAGATATCTCTTGAGGCTACTCAAAAGCCTTTTTTGCATAATTCGTAGTTTTCCCCCATGTTTGAGAGTGGTAATGTTGCATATCACTGACCTGCACATAAGCAAGGTTACTGCTTTGACACTGGATGGAGGCAGGGGAGGAGGAAGAAAGGGATGAAGAAGGGATGATTTAGAAAAGTGTTAGAATTGTTTTTGAATCTTGAGAGTGTATTTAATAATTGTGGACTCTTTTTTTTTTTTTTCCTGACCTGGTCATTTATATTACAAAAGAAGTCTGAAGTGTACTTATGAAAAATCAGAAAATAGATAAGAAAAAAATTAACTCATAGCCCTACTGCCCTAGAGACACCAGTTAATAACACCTTTCAGACACTTTTTATGCACAAATTGTGTTTTTAACACAAAAATGGGGCTCTATGAAACCCCAAAATGGAGTTATATAATCTGCAGTTTTCATTTAATAATGTCACAAAAAGATGGCCAGGCCTATAGGTTTACACAATACCTCACTTCCTTCCCATACAGTGCTGGTTCAGCCAAATGCTGCTCAATACATATACTTTTATCCTAAAATTTTTGTGATAATCTGCTTCTCCCTCCTAGGAACACTGGCCCAAGAAAAGGCTGAGTGCAGGAGAAATGAACACCTGTGTGTATGATTAATTTGTTTTACTTTAGTTCTATTCTAAACTCTTCCCAGAAGCTGATTAACCAGGGGAAGGAGGAATAGGTGAGTGAATGTAGTGGGTTATAGGTGGGAGTGAATGGGAGGTTGGCAACATAAAATTAGTCCTTTTACATTAATATTTGTTCTGAGACATTAAGAAATCTTAAGGAATATACCTCTTTTCCTCAACACTTAATTTGGGTGCAGGGTATTAGGTATTAGCCTAGATGTCTATGATCAGAGACCCATAGGCTGACCAAATTGACCAGACAGGGTTTTTTTTTTTTCCCCCTCACATGCTACTGTCTCTAAAGTGTATGGCCACAGGAAGGATTAAATCTAAAACTGGCAAGGGCTTCCTTCCTAGATGGCACACTCAGCTTCCAGAAGACCATCAGCCAAGCCCAAGGTGGTTCGTCATGACCAGTTGTGGAAAGCCGGCAGGGAAAGTGAGCTCGGTGGTTTCTCCTTTACGTGGCGCAGTCACTGAGGCCCTGAAACCGCAGTGGGCAGAGCCAGAAAAACTTTGTGGATGAGGGTTTCTCCGCCTTGAACTGCCATGGGGATTTCTCTGATTGTCAACAGAGCTTCGGAAGCTTGAAAGAGTAAAATCAAAACAATTCCTTTAACATCTGCTATCACTATTATGTTGGAGACCTAGAGAGTTACTCCTAAAATGGTCTTTCCTGGCTTTGGAAAATCCAGCAATGCTTAAGAGTTAGAGGACTTCTAATATATTAAGAAAAACATGTGCTCTTTTCCATGCAGAAGTAGTAAGATTTTAATCTTTCAACCCAAGTTCTTCCCCCAAACCTAACTAGCAGTCTTCCCCATCTGGTTAGTGGTAACTCCATCCTTCCGAGTGCTCAGGCCAAAACTCTTGGGGATCTATCTGTTTCCTGTATCTATGGCTGAATAACAAGTCACCCCAAACTTAAGTGACTTATAACAACAAATATTTTATTTGCCCACAATTCTGTAAACTGGAGTTGGCTTCATTCAGTGCTTTTTCTGCTGCTCTTGCTCGTAGTAACTGGTGTCCTGCATTTAGCTGGAGGGTGAGCTGGGACTGGGCTCAGCTGGGACACAGGGATGGCTGAGCTTCCTTCTTTCTGCATTTAGGCTCAGGGCCTCTCTGTACAGTCTTTGCACGCCACCTCCTGAAAGACTTGTCAGCTCAAGCTTCCCAGGAGCACAAAAGCAGAAATTGCCAGGCCTTAAGGTTTAGTCAGGAATGTCTCAGCATCAGTTTTGCCACACTTATTGCTTAAATTAAGTTACCTGGTTCAACCGAGATTCAAGAACAGAACAGCCTAAGGGCATTAATACCAGTGGCAAGGTTCACTGGGGGCCATCAGCCTGACATCCTTGAATCTTCACTTTCCTATTCCACAACCAATCCATCAACAAATCCCATTGGCTCTCTTTTAAACTGTAGCCTGAATCCAACCACCCCTCACCACCTCCACTGCTACGATCCAGATTGTCTTTTATCGGAGTTGTTACAATAGGGCTCCACACTGGTCTACCTGCTTCCACTCTTGCCCCAACAGTCACTTGTCCACTGGCAGCCAGAAAGAGTAAGATCATGGCACTCCTCTGCTCAAAACTTTCTAGCACATCTCGCCCCAGACTCCTTACAGAACGCTAGGATTGGCTCCTCCTTGTTCTCTGACACTTCTGCTATTCCACTTGCCTCCTTGCATTTCCTCAAGCAGCCCAGACACCCACCCATCTCAGAACCATGGCCTGTGTTTGTACCCCCTTGGAAAGCACTTTCCATGTGGCTCCACATGATTTGCTCTTTCCCCATCTCCTTCAACTCTTGGCTGGAATGTTACCCTCTTAGCGAGGTCATCCGTGAGCACCTTCCTCACCACACTCCTCTCAGTACTCTTCATCTGCTTTCTGCTTTATTTTTTCTCTGACACGTCACCTCCTAATCTGCCAGATAACTGACATATTTCTTTGGTTTATGTGCCTCCATTTAAGAGTAAG